AACATCATAGTTACATAGCTTAAGGCTATATATAAGCTTTGGCACTGTCAAGGTATTGTATAAATGGACTATAGTTGACGGTGACAAAAACGAATTCCACTGTCATTATGAGCTATTGCAACCGGTTGAAACTGCGTTATACGTTCATTTAGATTTGTTTTTTGAAGTGTTGCAATTTTGTTTTTGTTGGTATCGTTATCCCATTGGAAACCCAGATGTTTTAATTTATTTTGGAGATGTATATTAGTTCCGTTAATTTAAATAATGTTGTTGGAAATTGAACTTTCACCAGAGATCAGAAATTCCGTTTTTTCAGTGTTTAGCTTGATAAAGTTTAATATTCCATATGTTTGAAATCTGTCAATCAGTTCTTGCAGACCAGAGATTATTGGACTTAGCAAAGTTACATCATCTGCGTATGCAATGGCACCAGTATAGATGCAATTTATCGTCGATCCTACTTTACATTCTAAGACTATTTCATTTAAGATGTTTTCGGCATAGATGCTATATAAATATGGCGATAAAATAGACCCTTGTCGCACCCCTTGTGACAAACTGAATTGATTTGAGGTAACTCCCTGATAAGATATATTTGCAGTACCAGAATTGAGCCTTGAGGAACATTGCAAATTATTTGAGTCATTTCGTTTTGGCGTCTGTTATTGACGGGGACATATTGTTTTCTATTTGTTAAATAGCTTTTATACCAATTTAAAAGATTGTTATTTATCCCATAATATTTGAGCTTTTGCAGTAAAATTTCATGATCGACGGTATCAAATACTTTTGATAGATCAATAAATACACCTAAGGTGTATTGATTTCTATCAAAAGACTCAGAGATTTGCCGTACAAATTGAATAATTGCTTGTTCCCTTGAAATGCATTTTTTAAAACCAAATTGATATTATTTACAGTTTATTATCATTAAGATATTTAAGATATTTATTATTTAAGATATTAATTAAGATATTTATATGTTCTATTATAAATTATTTTTTATAAGATTTTTGAAAAAGCTGGGAGAATAGAAGTGGGGTGGTAGTTGCACACACCATTTTTGTAGACTGGAATAACTTTTGCAATTTTCAATATGTCCGGAAAAATCCCTTATTTTAAAGATGCTTTAAAAATTTTGAAAAGTATATCTTTTAGGTTTTCGTAACAATCTATAATTATGTTACTATTTATTTCGTCGAAGCCAGTAGCTTTATTTCTTTTAAGAGATTTAAAAGAATATCAAACTCCTCGCGAGTTAATTCAATTAATAATTCATTGTTTGTATTTAGATTGTGCCTAGTGGATAAAAAGTCTATAAATGAGTTATCAGTAGTTAATAATTTTGTTTTTAAAATTAATAGTGTTTGGCAGGGAGTTTAAACATATAATTGATTTTTCAGTTTCTTTTATTATATTCGAAGTGCGCTTTGAGTCGTTTTGAAATTTTTTGGTAAGATTTGAATAATAGATTTTTTTTTTAATTTCTTTGAGTTTTCTCAAAGATCTTTTTATAATTCTTATATATTTTTTCACTTCCAGGAGATTTTGGTTTTAGATATTTTATATATAATTTTTGTTTTGTTTTAGAGGATTTCTTTAGTCCTTTTGTAATCCAGGGATTATTTAATGCTTTAGTATTTATTCTTTTTTCGCAAACTGGAAAGTTTGCTTCATACACTGAATAGAAAGTTTCAAAGAATTTATTATAAATGTTGTTTGCGTTATCGTTAAAGTCAATATGCTCCCAATGTAGTAGAGATAATTGATACTTGAACGATTCGAAATTTTTTTTGGTAAAATAACGCTTTCTAGTAATTTTATTTGTTGTTAAAGTATGCGTTGATACGTCATTAAATGTTAATAAAATAGGAAAATGGTCTGATAAAACAGATTTCACAATACCTGTTTGAATGTTGTAATTGAAAATGTCTGTTGTAACAATATTATCAATAAGAGTTGATGAGTTTCGTGTTACCCTAGTTGGACGATTTATCAGCGGAATTGCTCCCGTTGTAAATATTTCATCGTAAAATTTTTTTACTTTATTTTCATAATTGTATAGTAAACAATTCATATTTAAATCTCCTGTTTTATAATTTTTTTTCTTTTCATAGATTCCTTTGTTAATTATTTTTTGTTGTAAACACAAGCTAAAATTTTCGGACGCACCATCAGATGGCCTGTAACAACAGCTTAAGAGAATATCGTTTTTTTTCATTTTGTTGAAAATTTCAATGGTTACGATTTCTTTATCGCCGTCAGAAACGCTAAAATCATTTCTAATACAATGTACAATGGTATCTTTTATATAAATCCTCCACCACGTTTATTTGAATAATGATTTTAAAGATTAAGTTTATGCATTTTTAACAAACCAACTACATAAAAATGAATTTATTAGTTTCAAGTTTTTTTTTTGTTTTATTTATTACAGTAATCAATACAACTTCTTGATTGAATTGATGAAGGGAAGCACACCAGGCTTTTCTATGCTGACAATCGACATTGCTGCAGCCGAAGCAGCATTTTAAACGTGTTTTTTTAAAAAAGTGCACAGTGGGTGCATCAACTAGCAGCCGTGGCGCAGTGGTTAGAGTTCTTGCTCAGAACCCAGAGTTCCGGGGTTCGATGCCAGCTCCAGCCCATCAAGCAACATTGGTACAGAAGGAGGCGTGAACTTCCCGTTAAATGCTCTCCCGCGGTGCTCTATGATAAGACCGTAAGAACTTCTGGGAGCACCAAAATACATTTAAAAAAAAAATAATAATATTCTGAGCTAATTTATTCCATCGGTTAGTAACTAGGTTTGTAAAGAAGTGCTGAGGTTCTGAATTTCTTTTAATCAGTTTTGGTTTTAAACATCGGCTGTTTCTTTTCAGATTATATCGTGAATTTAACAAAAAAGGCTGTACTTGTGGTATGTAAAATTTAACTTCTTGTAACTGATAAGCAATTTTGTATTGCAGTATATGGTCACTGGAAATTCTGCGTTCTTCTAGCGTGGTTAGATCTAGTAGTTGTTGTCTTTTTTCGTAATTAAAATGTTTAATCGACGGTATAATTTTTGTTGCACGTTTCTGTACACGTTCGAAAAAAACGATTTCCAATTTTAGATGTGGTACCAGGTTTGTACACAAAACTCTAGATGCGGTCGAACGTATAGCTGGTACAATTTCTTCCAAAGCTGGAGGCTACGGCATCAAAATGTCTTTTTGAGGTGACCAAGCATTTGATTTCCGGCCGAAGCTACTGCTTCTACTTGTGTTATCACTTTTGAGGTTTCGGATATTAGTACCTCAAGGTCATGCTCAATGTAATTTATAATTAATATTATTTAAAAAGGTTTTTAATTTTTAATATTTTTATAAGTTTTGTTATCAATCATATTTTTTTTTTCTTTCTCAATTTTCAAAATGTCTATTTTTTCATTTTTTTACTTATTTAATTAATAAAAGTATAGTGTACTGTGTCTTTACTCCGACGGCTTCAAATTTATTTGGCTATACCCTTATTCACTATCATTAATTCACTGATGTTTTTATTGATTCACTGTGTCCCAGTACTAGGGCACAGTGAATAACGTAACACAACTCGCTTTAAACCTTTCTGTGAGCCGTTAGATAATAAATATTTGAGTTTTAGAGGTTTATTATCATGAAGGACTTTTCTCAATCCTTTTGCTTTGAAAAAATAAAATGCATATCTTAGCTTTCGCTCAATTTAAAAAATATAGAAATCCGATCCAGTGAGCCCTAACTTTCCCTACATAGCAAAACATATCATAAAAATTTTGACATCCTTTACTAGCCACTATAAAGAGAACAAATAAAATAAAGTATTTTTTTTTATTTATGATGCATCTCGTTTTTATCTCAAATTTCAAAATAAATCATGTGCAATGTTGCCATGATTTATTTTGAAATTTGACATGATTAGAAACTGTTTCGCCATAAGGCGTACCTCAGATTTTCAAAAGAATTAATGACTTAAATTCAAAAGAATTAACGACTTAGAATATGTAATTTAAAAGTGTAACATTTAGCGTTTTTTTTATAAGTTACCTTAGATTAATAATTTTTCTCTACTTTGCTATTATACGCCTAAACAAATAATCACCTGCCAGGTAGATTGTTTTTTTAAAAGTGTATGTAACATTTAGCGCTTTTTTTATAAGTTACCTCAGATTAGTAATTTTTCTCTACTTTGCTATTATACGCCTAAACAAATAATCACCTGCCAGGTAGATTTTTTCTTTGTAGTTATTCTAGGTACTCCCAGAAGTCCTTACGGTCTTATCGCAGAGCACCTCAGTAGAGTATTTAACAGGAAGTTTACGCCTCCTTCCGTACCAATGTCGCTTGTTGGGCTGGAGCTGGCGTTGAACCTCGGACCTCAGGGGTCTGAGCCAGAACTCTAACCACAGCGCCACGGCTGCTCATTGAAGTACGTTAGTGATTGTGTAACATTTTCAACAAAAAATATTGATATCTTGATTGCCCATACATTAGGCTCTATCTCTTTAACACATAACTTTTACACTTTATCATAAATGACTAAATTAACTATAGTTAAAAAAAAAATCTGCCATTTTGGATTATGATCATAATCTGAAAAAAAATAAAAAACATTTGTTCAAACTTCTATAACTTTTCACAACTGCATAACATTATATACTTCAACTTTTAAAGATATTTGTTTTTAAAGTTGCTACTTCATCTGTTTAGATAGAGTTAATAAAGGATTCAACTTTATGTTTTATGTGTTGTGTTTTATCAAAATAAAATGATACAAAAAGGGTTTGTATTTTCAAGCTCGATACAAAAAACTTATCAAATAATTATAATTAATAAAAGTTTGAAAAATATCTAAGAACATTAAAAAAATTTTAAGTGAAAAGTTTCATTTTTGTTAAAGCTTAAACGTTAAGCACTACCGTTTTAATCGTTTCAACGTTTTAATCGTTTATGGTTACAACGTTTAAAACAATAAAGAAGTTATTCAAAACACATTATTTTTATTAGTGTTCATCATTGTTTAGCGTAAAATTTGTGGCGTAATTTGTACTCAAAAAATAATAAAAAAACAGTTTAGCAATCAGAATGTAATTCTTCCTTTGAAACTGAATCATCCAAAGGTGTTACTTCAATTAATCTTGAACTTGCAGGTCTTGTAAGAACTACATAATCGTCACTAAGTTGAGTATGTAAGACACCGCAATCATTAAAAAAGTCATTATTTACTGAACAAGATCTTTGAAAAGTTGAAATAACCGGAGATGAAGAAAATACACTCTGGTTTAAAGTTTCAGTTTGATAGTCATCAAACGGCGAAACAAATTCTTTTATAGGTGTTTTTTCCAAAATTTCATCGTCATTTGTGAATTGTACCCATTGTTGTGTTTGTTTCTTAACATCATTCTCTTGAAGCACAACGTTATCATTAATAATATTTTTATCTAAATTTTGTTCACAGTTGTTCTCAGCGTACATTGGGTTCGTATAACCTAAAGAACTCGGAAAAGACTCATTAGGAAGAGATACTTCGTGGGGATAAGCATCTATAAATATTTGATTTTGCAATGACCATTGAACAGCATGTCGAACTGGTCTATAAACAAAAAGTAGATAATAATAAAAAGCAATAAATTACATAAATAAATAGTGTAACTTGGTACCATTACTCCTGCTGCAAAGGAGACATGCACTTTTTTAATTATTTTTAGAATTTATTTATAATGATTATGACTCAAGTTTCAATTTTTTTAATTTTTGCTTTTGAAGAAATTTCAAAAATTTCGATTGCTGCATTTTTAAACCTTGGATAACGTACAAATATTTATTGAATGCTAATTTTCTGGCATTAAAATTTGCATATGGTATTTAAAACCTATATAATGAAAGTATAAATCAATTGAATAAGAACTTTTAAAATTTACTTTTTAAACAAAAATATGCCATTTTGACTCGAAAGAATCTTAAACAAAATGATTTTCTAACATGTTTAATTGCTACTCACCAAAAACTGATTTCAAAAAACAAAATGTATTAATGCGGAAGTAAATGTATTACTGCGAAAGTAAATGTTTTATTGCGAAAGTAAATGTATTACTGCAAAAGGAATCATAATGAATTGCTGTGTGCGCCTCTCATGTTTTCCGTACCAGAAATAAATTTTGCTAGAAATGAATGCTAGAAATGAATGCTAGAAATGAATGTATCACTTAAACCCTCAAATCCAAAATGATATCTAATAGCAAATGTGATGTTTCAAAACTCACTGTAAATTTAAACTCATTTTTCACATTTGTAAAAAAAAAAATAATTTTTAAATTAAGTTTTATATTTCAGTTTAATAGCCAACTTCAAAACTTTTTAAATAAATCTATTTTATGTGGTAGTGGGATAGATGTGGTTAAATGTTGGTTGAAAAGAAGATTCATTCTCGCCACACCCCAAGTTGCATCTTTATCACCTCTTGGAATTAAATGGAACTTCAAAGAATGCGGTGTTCTTAATTATTGACAGACTTTTTTACCCTCTCCCTTTAAGCCGATGCTCAAAAAACATAAAAAGTATTGAAAATAGAAAAAAGGTACACAAAAAAACAACAAAAACAAAAAACTTCTCTGTCACTTTCTTTAAACTTTTTAAATATATCTCTGACTTTAAGCGATAGGAATGTTTAATTTACCAGGCTTTTTAAAACTGCCAAGGTAGGGTAAATAATGAATGTTGGAAAAGCGTAGGGTAAATAATGAATGTTGGAAAAGCGAAACGCACAGAGTTAAAAATAGAACTTGGCATTTTAATTAAAGAATTTTAAATTAAAAACACCAAGTTCTACTTTTAAAAAAAAACTTTTAAAAGTTATACAGTTTTAAGAATAGCTAAGTTTAAATGGAAAAATATAAATTAAAAAAAAAAAAAAAATTAAATCAAAATAAATGAAAAAGTTAAAAACTTAAAATATTAAAAAACCCGGACATTTTAAATGTTTTCTGCTTCGCCTGCCAGACAGAGGACAAAGGATAAAAAAGGAGGACATAAGTCCTCTTTTTGCCGAAGATCTGGTAACCCTATGCACACTGGACCTGAATTCACATTTACCGGACAAAACTAATAACTCCTAATATAAAAAATATTTAAGGACCATTTTTTACTGTTTACTAATTTGAGGATTGCGGTTTCAAGGGTGACATTAGTTTTAATTTTAGATTGCTATGGATACCTAAATTGCTTATAACCACATATATTACTAACCATAATAAAGAAAAACTGGACTAAAGTACTAACTTTATCAGATTACTCCCATAATTACCACATACAGTATTATTATACTATAAATGTAGTGGTCCTAAGGATTTTTTATTTGGTTGATCGTGATACCTGAATTACCCGACAATGGTTTATTTTGCAAAGTTACTAGCTTAAATTTCTTGAAACATTTAAGATATAAAAAAGACTAATATTAATGTGACATTTTGATTGAAAATTACTATATGTATTTAAAAAACACATCCAATTACTAATTTTAGGTGTTTTTATGCAGTTCTAGGGTTCTTTTTTATATTTCATAAAACTACTACATAATCCATATAAAAATGAACCTAAAGCTCAAACTTTGTCTATATAATAATATAAAAATTTTGGTTTAAAATTATTTTTCATACTAAAACTGATATATTCTGATAATTGTAAAGCAGCTTTAATTTTTTTTTCATTACCATCTTGGCACAAACTACAACCCAATGCAAAGAATAGTTCAGAAGAAAAAAAAGATACAACTAATGGCGCCAATAATCTTTTCTTAGTTTTATTACTTGAATTACCATAATTCACCTGGGTTTTGCCAGACACTGCAGTTGAATAAATGTTATCTTTATCAATGGAGGCAGTTAGAAGAATATTCTTATTATCAATTACAAATTGAACCAATATCGGTTCATATTGTAGCCAATGTTTGTTATTCACTTCAAAACAAATTTTATCTGCTTTATGAAATTAGACAAGTTACTATTTGCAGTTAAGTTCTTACCACTTACAACTGCATCCAAAATACTAGAATTAGCTAACTTCAAGTTTCTTGTATTATATATGAATAAATATCAATATTTTTCATGTTTTAAATTAATATTAAAACATCTTAAAGTATAAATACTTTAAGATGTATCAATACTAAAACAAGTTTTTAACATCTAGACTCACTGAAACCCAATTATTACATAACCATTTAGAATAAAATACATATAATCAATAATATATTATATAACTAAATGTCTACTTTGTGGATTAAATTTGTAAACAAATATTTTTAACTTTTCTTTTTTTTGAAATAAATATATTTTAAATTTAAATGCTATTTACGTAAAAGTGTTAAGTGGAACTTATAATACTTGTAAAATTATAATTTATGATTCCTTAATTTATTTTCAATTAAAAAGGGATTAAAGTTTTGAATAAAAAAGTAAAACGACAGGTTGCATGACAGGTTGCACGCTTTTGATTTTTATGAATTATTAACAAAATAATAAACATTGGCAAAAAAATTTTAAGTAATTATTAAATATTATAATTATTAAAATTTTATAATTATTAAAACTTGTTTTTGAATTATCTTTAATTTATTGGGAACTTTTAACTTGCATTTTTAACTTTTATTCCACACTTCAGCTTTTGCCCTTTTTACAAATGGCGGACTTTGTCCTTATGAAAAGTTTTAAGTAAACATAAAATGAATAATCAATTACAGCAGACATCTATAAATTCCACTGAATTTAGGGTCAGACCACAAAGTTTTAATAAAACTGTTGTCACAAAACTCATGTGAGGTGTTTACACTAAATTAAGAAAATTTTATAATGATGAGTCCAATTTACTTGGATGATATATTTAATGTCTTTTGATGCATTATGTACATACTTGACCACAACCACAAGACATCTTTTTGAAAAGATCAAAACAAAATAAAGATACAGATCAAAGAATATGTTAAAAGAATATTATAAAATATGTTGTGATGATACTCTTATACTTGCAAGCAAATATTAACATGTGACACAATATCAGCAATCCATAACAATACTACAACATTTACAAAATTAAAAAATTCAAATGAATTGAAACCTACCACAGATTTATTCTGGAAAACATTACCATAATGACATTTGTAATGAAGAAATTATTTGAGCAGATCAGAAAACTTAAACATTAGGGTGTCCCAAAAAACAACTTTTTTAAAAATAATCTTCTCTCACCCCCTAAATGTGTTCTATCTAATACAAAAACACTAAGTTTAAATTTTTTTTCAATAAAAAATAATTTAAAGGGTCCCTCAAGACCCTCAAATATTTAATGGGTCCCTAATATTTTCAAAAAAAAAGTTTTTAAAACTTATGTCAACCTGGTACTCAAATGAAGCAAAATTATATAAAAATTTCAAAAATAATGTTCATTTCGGAAAAAACGATACGTAACGATTTTTTCCTTAAAATATACAATATTTGCCAAAACAAAAAACAATTTTCTGTAAAAATTGCTGATTTCGTTAAAAAAAAAAAAGATCCTCAATTTTCAATTTGGGTGGCGCCCAAATACAGTTGGCGCTGCTGAAAATGGACTAGAATAGCCCCTATATATATATATATATATATATATATATATATATATATATATATATATATATATATATATATATATATATATATATATATATATATATTAGTGATGTGCCGGGTACCCGGTTCGGACCCGGAGACCCGGTAATTCGGCAGTTTTACCGGGTACCCGGTATCGGCCATTTTGTTGCAGTACCCGGCACCGGGTATCTTCAAATTGATTTTTTCTTTAGTTAAACTTTAACCATTAAACTTCTTGATATAAGTCTAAGAGTGTTATGTAGTCGATAACCACAAAGTTCTATTAACTTAAAACAATCTCACTTAAAATATTTTTTAATACACTTTTGCAAAAAAAATTTATACGGATACAAAAACTGTAACGCTAAATGAAATAATTCGAGAATACGAATAAAAAGAATGGGAAACAAAGTTTTAGAATAGCTTCTTTTTATTCTGTTAGAACACAAGATAATTTTTAGCAATTTAGTTTTGAATGAAACGCTTATAATGCTTTCGAACGCTGATAGACTTTTCATTCGTATCAAGCAAAAATCATAAAAGTAGAGATATAAGGTAAATATTATACACATTTTTTATATTTTAATTTCGAGCGTATTATTAAAAAAATTATCGTTTCATATAAAATAAACGAAAACTTTGATATCAAAACTAGTTTCATTATCTTTATAGAAATTTTATTTGAAAGAAAAGTTATGGCAAAAAAAAGTATAGCGTGGAAGTTCTTTGATATAAGCACGACTCCTCATATGAGTAAGTGCAAACTATGTGATAGTTTAATTACGAGAGGAGGAAAATCTTTCAAGTCTTATGGAACTACAGCAATGGTAAAACATTTGCGTTTAAAGCATTCCAAAGAGTTTGAACTTGCGGAAGAAAAAAAAAAGGTTCAATCGTTGCCGTCTATTTCTGAAGCCTCAGTTGCTTCTACCACCAATACAGTACAAAGTAACATTATTCAGGCTTTACAAAAAAAAAAACAGTGGAATATTGATGACCACAGATCTATTCGAATCCATAAAATAATAGGAAAACTTATCACATTGGATATTCAGCCATTTTCTATTGTTGAAGATACGGGGTTTAATGAACTGATTAAAGATGCTTACCCCAATTACAAATTACCATGTAGAACATATTTCAGCCAAAACGTAATCCCTAGCATGTATGATGAACTTTTTAAAGATATAAAAATAAAAATCTCCGCGGCAAACTATTTGTCTCTGACGACAGATATTTGGACAGCGGATACTGCAAAAATCGCATTTTTAAGCATTACTGGACATTGGATAGATCTAACTAAATTTTCCCAAGAAACTGCTGTTCTTCGAGTAATTCATTTTCCGGAAAAGCACACAGGTGTTCATATAAAAGAGTATTTACAAAAAGGTTTAGAAACTTTTGAAATCCCGTTAAGCAAAATTCATCTTATTGTTACCGATAATGCAAGCAATATGAAGGCTGCAGTAAAAAACAGTGGAATGTCATCAATTCCATGCTTTATCCATACTTTGCAGCTATGTATTCATGACTCTATATTTAGCCAAGAAATCATCAAGGAAATTTTAACTTTATGCAGAGGAATAACGACACATTTTAACCATTCACCAATAGCATGTGCAAAATTAAAATCAATTCAGCAGCAGTTAAGTACTGTACCTCACAAAATGAAACAAGATGTTCCAAATCGCTGGAACAGTTCATTTGAAATGCTACAAAGAACGTTTGAACAAAAAGTTCCTTTGGCCACCTATGCAGCAGAATATGATGAAATTAAACTTCCTACTAATTATCAATGGGGAATAGTCGAAAAACTTGTTCACATTCTTGCTCCATTTGAAAACTTAACAAAAAAATGTGGTAGGAGGGACAAAACTTGCGCACAAATTATACCATCTGTTCTTGCATTAAAAGTTTTATTACAAAAAGCTTCATCAAGTGATATATACGCTGGGATTATGACGATGATTGATGAACTAATAAAATCTGTTACTAAAAGACTTGATAAATTTTTGCTTAATAAAATGTTATGTGTATCAACATTTTTGGATCCACGATATAAATTACTTTATCAACATGCAGATGAAAATGTTATTAAGGAGTGGGTTGAAGAAGCATGGAGAGAAATGCAAGGAGCGCAAGATGTAGTTGACTCTGACTCCGACAATGCTCCAATAGTAAAAGCTCCAGCATCTAATGGATTCATTAGCATTGATGATTGTTTTAAAGATGTAGCTTCTATGAGAACCGGAAGAAAGCAAAGTGAAAGACGTTCCGAGGCAGAAAGAGAATTAGTAGATATTGAAGTTGTTACCACTGACATAATTAAAAAGCAAACAATATTAAAGTCTGCAATTACTCAAGAAATAGACAACTACTTATCTCTGCCTCTTTTAGAAAATAAAAGTTCTCCGTTTTTGTGGTGGAGTAAATGTGGAATGCAATTTGAAAAACTAAAAAAGATGGCATTAAAATATCTTACAGCACCTCCGTCATCAATAGAAAGTGAAAGGTTATTTAGTGCTGGTGGGGACATATACGAAGCAACAAGGAGCAGACTAAAAGCAGATAACGGAGAATACCTAATGTTTGTGCATTACAATCTAAAGCTAATAAAACAATTAAAATAAGATACAGCAAATAAGTGTTGTTTAAGTTCTTTTTATTTGTTTTATTTTATTCACTGTACAGTCAAGAAGGTCTACCTTTTTTTGCAATTCTTTATATTTCTTAATCTTTTGCTTTCCATAATATAACTTTCAATGGCGGAACTTCAAATTTTGCCCCTTTCCCCACAAAATATTATTTAGGCCCGCTCCACCAGGAAAGAAAAATAATTTTAAACTAAATATAGTTGTTAAAAAACTGTTGCACAACTTTTTAAAATAGTTAGGCCCTGCAACTCAGGCCCCTTACCCTGCATTGCGGGGTTTTGCTAAATAGTACGTCGGCCACATAACTCTTTGTTAATTAGCGTAAAAAGCGTATTTTGTGTGAATAGTTCAGCCCTAGAGATTTCACAAATTTTTATTCCAACTTTTAAAAAATGGACTCGGTGCCGAATACCCGGACTCGACCCAGTTTTTTCAGCCGGGTACCCGGAATCGGAGACTCGGCATAAACTGGTTTCGGCACATCTCTAATATATATATATATATATATCTTTATATATATATATATATATATACAGGGGCTATTCTAGACCATTTTCAGCAGCGCCAACTGTATTTGGGCGCCGCCTAAATTGAAAATTGAGGGCGGCGCCCAAATTAAAATCTTTTTTTTTTTAACGAAATCGGCCATTTTTTTACAGAAAATTGTTTTTTGTTTAGGCAAACATTGTTTTTTATTGAAAAAAAATTTAAACTTAGTGTTTTTGTATTAGATGGAACATATTTAGGGGGTGAGAGCAGATTATTTTTAAAAAAGTTGTTTTTTGGGACACCCTATTAAACATGATGAAATAGTGACATCTGATGAATTAGTGACTCCTGGTCAATTATTTCCAAGAACTCTACCAAGAGCCCTATATTATTATGTACTCAGAGTTCATCACCAAATAAAAGTATGATTAAGTTAATTGATATTTATTTATTATATCATAAAATAGTTTTTGTTAATTTTACTTCAACTTTTTAATCTTTTAATTTTAATATCACAGCCTCGAGATATTGAAAATTAAAAATATTAAAAATTTTCTTTTAATTATGTCATACTATTATGCTATAAACTTAGTGTTATTTTGTTTAGTGCTTATTTAAAAAATCTTCAAATTTTTCAGGTTAACAAAAACTTTTGACCTTTTGATGTTTTTTCAGCTTAACGCACAAAAAAATTGAAAATAAAATTTACAATGTATCTCAATAAAAATTTTTTCTTTGTTAAAACTCTACAGTGCCATTTATAACTAACCAATCATCATCATCATTTATAACTAACCAATCATCATCATTTATAACTAACCAATCATTATCATTTAATAACTAACCAATCATCATTATTTATAACTAACCAATCATCATCATTTATAACTAACCCATCATAATAAAATTTCTTAAAAATCAATTGAATTTAGTATTATTAACCATATATTTAAAATGAATTTACCTTTTTTTGTAGCGTAAAAAAGCAAAGAGAAGAATAAGGATTGTAATAACAATGAACAAACATATAAGTGCACCAATTAGAGTCGAATTACTTTTTTTTACTGAACTTTCCAAGTAGTTTGCACTCACAAGTTTTGCTTGAAGACTGGAATCCAATGAATCAATAAAACCATTTAAACCTGCTTTTATACTTTCTTTTTTTAAGACACCATTAGTCTCACTTACAATAGCAAAATCAAAACTTAAGTAGTTGTTTTTATATTGAAATTGACGAATATAAATATCTTCTTGGTTGAAGATTGAGCGACGTCTGAGAAATAAAAACGTAAAAAAATGCTTTTCAAATTAAACAAAATGTCTTGAAATATCTATTTATTATTAAACAATTTCTTAAATAAAAAAAAAAACAAAAAACACAAAACAATGAGTAAATAAAAAAAAAACAAAAAACAAATAAATAATGAAGATTATTAACTACAAATATATGTAAAAAAATACTACAAAAAATACATATAAAAATAATAATACTGTAAAACAAATATATTAAAACAATAACAACAACAAAAAAGATAGTTATGCTAATGTAAGCAAAATTTGATATGAAATATATTTAAAAATTTCACAAAATAAATTTATTCATTTGTTCAATTGAATGGTATGTAAATCTATAACCACACAGCAAATATCAATTTTCACAATGAGTTTTAAAATCTGTAGATTTTTTTTTAAATATACTTTTTTGAGTTTGATTTTTTTGATAAACTACTTTTACATCAATATTGTTTATTTTTATTTTAAGAAATTCCCTAAAAAATATCTTTAAAAACAAAGCAACTTATAGGGGTCATCCATAAATTACGTCACGCTTAGGAGGAGAGGGGGGAGGGGGGGGGAGAGGAGGCAGTTTGTTACGAGGGGGAGCAGGGAAGGGAGGTCTCAATTTTGTGATGCAACCCATTTTTTTTTTTAGAGAAGACTTTCTTTTAATTAAAAGAGTATCTGACCAAACTAAAACCCTTAGTTGATGTATCTACATGCTGATTGTAAAATCAACTACGCCTAAATCTTAGTCAATGTGTGCGGAGTAGTTAATGGACTGTAACGGCTGTATGTGCAGTGCATGTTCTGCGCTTTGAATTTATATGGTCCAAGTGCAGAACTTTATTTAGTTGGTGCACAAAAATGTGCAGCAACAAAAAAACAATTTTTGTGCACTAACTAAAAAAAATTATAATTTTGATATTAAAAAGCAAACCAGGAACCTAAGGTTTACTAGCCGGAGGCAGAATCTACTCGACCATGCTTACGTTGCTAGGTGGAAGAACATTGTATTCATAAAATAATACTTTTGCATGTATAATATATTATTATTTTTTATATATATAATAATAATATTTTGCATGAATTACATATTGGAAGAATAGATTTTTAAAATAAGTATCAGGTTTAGAATAGCAATGTTAATTTATACAACTTTGCATGTAACTACTGGGGTGAAAAAAAATAATTAAACAGACTGAAAAGTATAATTAACTCAAAGAAGCTTAGAGAATTATAGACATTATTATGTTTAAAATCATTTGGTATTTTATACAATTTTGAACCCTCCTTCCTAAAAATTTTTTTTCAGGGAGGAGGAGGAGATAGTACAAGACTGTTGTGTAATATTAGGAGGAGGGGGGTCAATAAAGTTTTATGAATGCGTTACAAGAGGAAGGGAGAGAGAGGAAGGAGTAGTCAAAAAATGTCAAAAACTGCGTTATGCAATTTATAGATGACCCCATAATTGAATGGTCATTTCTGTTTTACTTTTAGATTTTTTTTTTTAAAACATTTTCAATTCCAACTGCAAGCAATCACTATTAGAGTTGGAAGTTACTGGAGATAAAAATTAACAGATGACTTAAAAGATTTTGAATTGCATCAATCAGAAAAACAAGATAAAGGGGACAAATTCCAAAGTACTGATGTTTAAGGAAAAAAAACTAAATAAGCAGGAAGTTTTGGAGCAATTAGAAACAGTCACAGTAAAATGATGAGACTTATTTGAATGACGAGTAACATGAGAATGAACTTTAGCAGATGGCACAAAAAAACACGAGCTCTTTAGAGCTTCACCCGTTACAATATTAATAGAAAAGAGAAAGAGAGGAAACATTATGACAATGTGATAATGGTTGGAGGTTGGCTGCAAGAGCAGGTTCAACTATGTTTACACTACATTTTTGCAGCTTGTCTGAAAGAGAACAGGCATCATTCAAAGATCCTCTCAAAATATGGCAACAGTATTCTATACAAGGACGGATATGAAATTTATAGAAATAAAGAATAGAATCTCGAGTAAGAAAATGGCACACGATAACAAGATGCAACCTTAGCAGTTGCTAATTTTGCAATAAATTTGATAAATAGTTTCCAAAAAAATTAGAAATAAGAGTTAATCTTAGAAGATGAAGGTTAGATGACTCATTAAGTACATTACCATTCATAAATATAGGAAGATCGAAATTATTGTGATAATGATTGGCTGAAAAAAATTGGTTTTTATCAAAATCAAAGTTCACCAGTCACATGCTGTAGCAGAAGTGAGATCCTTTTCAAGCTCAAATGCCCCCCTCTAAGCAATCAGAGAATGTTATTTTTAATCAGAGAGTGTTGTTTTCAAGCTCAAATGTCCCCCTCTAAGCAATCAGAGAGTGTTGGCTTCTTATCATGACAAGAATAAAAGGTAGTATTATCAGCAAACAATGCCATCTTAGATGTGAGAATATCTGGAAGTTTGTTATGTAAATTAAAAATAAGTTGAGGCCAAGGATTGAACCTTGAGGAACCCCTTAAGTTACAGAATATAAAAAAAAAGGTGCTATTTATCAAGGAAAACCTTTATACTACGATTAAAAAGGAAGGATTCAATAGTCTTAAAGATGTTACCAGATACACTGTAAGAAGAAAACTTATGGAGAAGACCAGTATGCCAAACTTTATCAAAAGCTTTAGAAATTTCAAGAGTGATGGCCTAAACCTCTCCACCTTTATCTAATGCAATATAAAACCTATCAGTTATTACTGTTAGCAAATCAGCTGTAGAACCAGAAGATCAAATCCACATTGATGATCAGAAAGTAAGTTATTAGATTCAAGATGAGAGATTAAGTGTTTGTTAATTAAAGATTCAAAATCCTTGCTTATGATAGGAAGAAGACAATTGGGACGATAGTTAAACAGATCAGATTGTTCTACAGAATTTTTGAAAATAGGGATAACACATGCCGCTTTCCAGCAAGACTCTAATAAGCACTTGTTGAATAGTTTTGAAAGTATAGACAACAACACCGGAGAACACTTCTGCAAGACTATAAAAGGTATGTTGTCCGGACCACAAGCTGTGGAAAGGGTCTAAGCAGGAAATCACCTTAGATACGGAAGCTAGAGTGACACAAATGTCAAGCAATGGATCAACCTGTTTGACAGCTAAACCAAGTAGAATGCAACCAGTGCAATCAAGAATAATATTGATGAAAAGTTCTTAGCAAATAATTTAGCTTTATCTTTAGGTGAGGTGAAAAAGTCTGAGCCATACAAGAGAGGTGGAATAACAGATTTGCCCTTATTATTGATACTATTAAAGATTCTCAAATGTCATGGAGTCTAACTTTTGTGATAAAATACAAGATTTTATGACATGAAAATAGCGGGCTTTGGCGTTAGACAAAACCTTTTTACAGCAGTAATAAACTGATGTCTGTTTTCTGGAGAACTGTTATGGTGATAGATATTGAAGTAATGGTTTTGATTGGACAGCAATGTGAGGAAAAGCATGGAGAAAAGTGAGGTTTGACCTAGAATTGTTGAGAGGGAATAAAAGATTCCATGCCAGCCTGAATCCATAAAGTTATGTAAGAAGCACATTTGTCCGCAGGAAGACAAAAGATTTCTATTCAAGGGCCATCATGAAGAAAATCACGGAAAGAGTTTTAGTCAGCTTTAAGGTAGTTGTAATAGGTACAACGATAGGGGGATTTAGATGATGAAAATGAATGAGATAATAGTTTTAGAGAGATCAAACCATGATCAGAAGCACCTAAGAGTGAATGTGGAGAAACTGAGCATTGACTAGGATCAGAAATAAGACATAAGTCGATTAGAGAAGGTAAATGATTCAGGTTGTCTGGAAAGCAATTTGGAAAGTTGACTGAATTAGGGATTGAGAAAGGCAAATGTTGTGGGCCTTAACTCATGCAGAGTAACTAACACTAGAGCCAAGCCATTCAGTGCGATGAACATTAAAGTCACCAACAACAGCAATATTGGCTGATGGATAAATCCAGAGGGCTTGGTCAATTTGATCAGAAACAACATCAAAAAGAGTGTAGCTTCGAGATGAAAGAGAGTGATATGGAACAAAGAAAAAAGTGATAGAGTGAAGTGGTGTTAAATAAAAACACATAAAAGAATAGTCTGTGGATTCAAACCTAGATTCCTGACAAATGGGTGAACTCTTACAAACATAAATGCCCAGCTTAAGCATGTGAGTCTTTATAAATTAAGGGAAGATAACTATTAACACTAAGACCACAAGATGAGACAGCTAAAATTAAATTAGTTCACTAAAAGCAAGTAGGTTTGGTAAACTTTCTAAGAAATAAGACTCAACAGAAACTTTCTAAGAAATAAGACTCAACAGAAGAAAAGTTACTTTGAAGACCACGAATATTAGTGAGTTGTAGAATTAAAAAACTTGAATGACGATGGGATTTTTGTATTTTAAAGTTTTTGATACTGAAGTCATTTTTTAATTTAGTTAAAGAACTTGAATCAAAGCACAGATAGTACTCAGTACACTATGTAATAGTCCAAGGAATTGCCTCATTAATATACCTGAAGCCATAACAAAGGGATAAACTGTAACAACTAACCTCTAAGCTAAGTTGTAACAAAGAGATAAATTAACGCATAAAATATATAACCAAATAATAAAATTTTAACATAAACTAAAGATTTTAAATGAATAAAAAAAAAATGTCAAAAATTTGATAAATATTACTATTTGACAGTTTGTTTTTTAAAAACTAGTAAAATATCTTTTTGATTGTGAAAAAGACATTTATTAGTTTTTAAAAAAACAATCTAATCTATAATTCCCAAATAAATTAATATTATTACATTTTTGTTAAATACCACAATAGTTCTTTTTATTTTTCAATAACTTGAAATAATATTAAAGTTAAAAGAAAATCTATCAGAGATAAAAGTTTTAATAATTTTTAAAACTTCTAGATATAATTTGTTTGACAGGAATACCAGTAATGCACATCAATATATCTTGGGCTTAGAGGAATTTTCAGGATTTGGTACTAGTTTAATTGTATTCTTAGAAATCAAAATAATTAAATGTATCCTCAGAAACCATCAAAAAAGTAGTATAGATTAAAAACTGCTAAAACATTCAAATCAGCAAATAACACAGGAAATCAGCAAATAACACAGAAAATCAGCAAATAACACAGAAAATCAGCAAATAACACAGAAAATCAGCAAATAATACAGAAAATCAGCAAATAACACAGAAAATCAGCAAATAACACAGAAAATCAGCAAATAACACAGAAAATCAGCAAATAACAAAGTTTCAGAAAATCAGCAAATAACACAATTTTTAAAAAACTAATAAAGAAATCCTATAAAACTGTTTTAAAAATTGCTTCATTTTGTTATTAGCTTGTGCTTTAACTATTATTATTGTTAAGGATTTATTATTATTGTTAAGGATTTACTATAAATTGTATATAAATGTATACATGTACATTACATGTATATAAATGGTAAAAACACAAAACAACAAATTCACTTCAAATACTAACAAACAAATTCCAGTAATAGATTAATTTTCTACAACATATTTTAAGAAGCATATATTGTTCATAAATAAAACATAATTTCACTTTGAGAGTAATTATAAAAATATTAAAACCTTCTTTTTAGCGCATCATAAACACAATTGTTTTTATAATCAGAGCAATACTGTGAATAATAACTTGCCAGTGATGTCATTAGATATTCTTTAGTAATCTTAAACAATAAATATGTTTGCTCAAAAAATTTTTAAAATAAAAAACAGCTTAAAAAAATAACCAATACATTGATAAAAATTTAAACGATTCAAATGATTGATAAAAACTAAAAAAAAAAAATTCAAAATTTTTTTTTTTTGGTTATATCTATTTTATTTGTCAATTTTTGTGTGAAACTTTGATTTTACAAGACACAGGATCTAAGAAGCTAATGAAAGTTGCTAATAATTTTTTTATAACTTTTTCTGAAACACAAAGCTTAAAGAACAAGCTCACTGCACAGAGAATCAGTAGCAGTACTTCTAATGGTGTGACGAGTGGGAACTCTGTAATTCTTACTTATAAAGTAAGTGCTCTACACCACTATTGTGTTGTGTTTAAAACAAATAAAATTTTTTTTTATTATTTTTTTTAACTTTTAATTTTTAAAACTTATTTTAAATGAAAATTTTCAATTTAAGTTTTACAAACATTTCTACAATTTTAGATAATTAAATAATTCAAAATAATTTAGTAAATTAATAGTTATTATTTTTGAACTTGAAAAAGTTCTTAATTTATAAAAAAAATTATGGTTTTAAACTTTGTTCTAAAATAGAGTTCTATCAATAAGAATAAGTTAAGAATTGTAATCAAATATATTATTTAACAAATTATAAATTTTTCTGCATGATTTTTTTAGCACTTTATGAACATAAAAAAAAAAAATTTAAAACAAATATTAATCCAAGTGTTAACACAACTTTAAAATTAATAAATAGCATCTTATTATTTTTATTATTCAAATAAAAACTCACCTCTTTTGTAGTTTGCAGCGATACTGACATTAACTCTGATTCTGAAATAAATAAAATCATTTTTACTATACCAAAAATAAGTTTAAAATTATTTATAAACTTAACTTAGTGTTATTTTAAAATTTACTTATTGGTAAGAAATATGTTAATATATTGGTATGTTCAAACCTCAGCAACATAAAGCTATGTTGCTCAAGTTTCAACTTTATCAGACAGTTATGAGCTTAGCTCATTTTTAACCCCTATAAATTGAGTTACATCTTAAATTGGTTACAATAGGTAACAAGTTTACACTTTTTTACTCATAATTAAATAAACTTTAAAACGCCATAAATGTTTGTTTATCATTGTAATATTAATATTTATCATTTATATGAAATGTAGAAAAGTTTTATCTCAATTGGTTATTCTGTCGTGAAGAATTGAAAAAATTTTACTCGCAATCAAGACACAAATAATTTTTTATATTAACCCTTAGAACATTTTTTGCATAATTTTGTGCCTCAATAAAAAAATAAGTTATACTTCACTAAGTTACAAATCAAAACTTAACTTGTTTTTCGTAGCAGAGTAACTTTAGAGAGATTTTTGAGAGAAAACTTTTATACATTAAAAATAAAATAAATATTCTATAATTAAAGATGTTATGCTTTAATTATGTAAAAATAATTAAAGCATAACATCTTTAATTATAGAATAAAAGATTGTTATCAAACTGTAATGTATAATGCTAATTCTCAATACCTAACATTGTTATAGGGGTAACCTGAATGTTTTGCTAAAAAGACAATAATATTGCAGCTTTCTTCATTTGTTGCTTTTTAGTTTTAGATCAATTACAATGATCAAGCTTTACTGATTAAGTTTAAAAAAAGTAGAAAAAAAAAAAAAAAAAGAAAAAGTAAAACCAACTTTAGAAAATTGATCAGTTTATAAGTTTTACCACCTTATAAATAAAATTTTACTGACATGTAAAATTTCATCTATGATGTAGCAACTGGATTTATTTTCACTTTATTTTTATTAATAAGTTTTCCAACCAAGCAAATTATGATCATTAAGTTATTGAGACTTTCGTTAATTTTTTTTTTGTTATTAAATATTTATCAAAAATTACATAAATTAGCTTAAAACATGTTTATTAAAATGTTTTATTTTTTAAAGGGATCCCAAAGAGCCGAGACAAGTTGTGTTCATATCATAGATAAACATTAGAAAATAAGTTAAAAGTTAGTTAAACTTTCCAAAACAAATTATTAAATGAGATATTAACAAAAGAATTTGCTGTTTTGCCATTATTCTTCCGGTTGAGAGCTTAATTTTAGGCTCTCAAACCTGTATAGTTTTTTCTGTTAAAAAAACATCTGGTTTCAATAATAAGTGTTTTTGCTCACTGCAGAGTTTTTAAATTCAGTTCAGTTTTACACAATCAGGTTGGGTTTGTCTGCGGTCTGCGGTGATTATAAAAAACGTTTGCTGTAGCATGTTTTTGTTTTTTGTTCAAGGTATTGTTAAGTGTTTGAGTTGAATGAACTAGCATAATAAAAATAGTAATTAAGCGAAGCAAACATTACAATACACAAGCTGAATATTTTTTAATAAGTACAATATAATCCAACATGGTTAAATGTCGAAAGATCTTAACCATGTTTTTTATTGTTTTATATTGAAAACCTTTATTATTTTAATAAATTGAGAAAAACGTTTTAAATACTCAGCCTAGTTAAGGTGGTACTAAAGCTATTATTAAAATGTTTAATAAAGTATTAAAAAGTTGTAAATTAGAAGTTTTATATATAAAAAACTAAAATATACAAATTTTGAAATAATTTGTAATAAAAAAATTTTTTTTTTCCTCACTTACCCAAATCTAAAAACACATAAAAGGAAAAATACACAGAATGCAATATTTCAAGATAGGGTCATTTATTTGCTCCAAAACTTTACAGTAACATAGGTCCCATAATCATGTAGGAGTTGTACTAGAATCATCTACTGTATGTATATAGTTTAGGAGTAAAGGCAATTTTACCATATTGATCTAGAAGCGGGTGTCAGATGGGGGAGATATCAGGCACTATTTCATGGACTATTTTATATTAGAACCTAATTCTAGTGCAACTTCTGCATATAAATATAATGAATACCTGAAAATTTCACTGTAATTTCACCTTTAAATCTGGAGATATTTAATTCTGTGTATTCGTGTATATTGAAAATTTTCAAATGACAAAAAACGTTTTAAAAACAAACTTCTCCAGTCAACTACCAACCACCAATAGAATAAGCTGATTGTTTCTCTGATTCATTTTCAACCTTTTCTTATATTTTTAAGGATTTTTATTTGTTGCATTTCTTTTTTTGATGATTTTCTCCTTATATTTCTGATTTGTTCATTGTTTTTTTAAATAAATCCTTTATTAAGAATTTATTAAAAAAAAAATTGTAAAAACTTTGCAAATACCAGTAGCACCTTCATTAAACTGTAGTATTGCAGATGAACCTTTTTTCCAACAAAAATATTTTTGGGGCAAAATATTTTTATAATAAAATTAAAACAAAAATATTTTTTCCAGATTATAGAATTTAAAGCTTCATTGTCGTTATGGGTTTGTCTGTGTAAACATTTGGAAGATACCTCATTGCTTGAAAGATCATGAAAAATTGGGAGAAGAAAAGCTTTGATTTACAATGGTATATTCAATGTGGGTTTGTATTTGTTTTGATTATTAAATTTATCTGTTTGCCACAAGCACCAAGTTTTTGGATTGAGGGCAGAATTGATGGTGTTCGATGGGATTACTTAAATTACTATTATGAAATAACACAGCCCAAACAGATTTCTTCATTGGATATAATAGTTTACTCTGCCTAATTGCCATTTCATAATAATTTTGAAGTTTATTTATAACTTTATCAGTCAATCTTCCTGCTCCATTTAATTTTTTTAGTTTTTTTCCCTTAATACTTTGAAGCAAACTGCGGCATCGTGCACTTAATCGCTTCTGCAGCAGATATGATTTGTTTGCCAGTTCAGGTACCTTAGTTTGGTTTTTTTCCTTTCCACATGGCATATCCTTTACAATATTTGGATAAAACTGCTGTGTCTAAACACTTTCCATTTTCTCTTGAAATTAAAGTTACAACACCGTTCATTGACAAATAACCATGCTTTTGCCATGTACCATCAACTGAGACCTGGCAATTTGTAATGCTACTGTTATCAAAAGTATTGGTAGCAAGTAAACTCTTTGTTTCTAAAGCTGCATTGCTCATGCTTTCTGAAGCTGCATCGTTATAAAAAGTATGTAACTTATTATTTATTAATTGATATCCAGGAAATGATAATGGTGTTGGCATGTTCATATTGTTAGCAAATATACGTATTCCCTGATAACCTTGACCAATCTCACGAAAAGCTATAACCATTTGATAATTAATGCAGCTTACAGTTTTCCCTAAAGTAAGTTTATTTGTTTTCTGTGAGCTTTAAAATTCATATTTCCAGTCATAATTTGTGCAATTCAAACATAGAATACAAGAAAATCCCTTTCTTTTTTGGAAATAGTTTGATAAAGTTACTGTTTTCCTACATTTAAAACAAAAAATAAATTTTACAAGCTCATTTTAAAGAATTGAAAAGTTTATTAGAATGTTATAATCATCGTTGTTACTAAATGAACTACTGCATTTTTTGTTTCTAAGTTTTCTTTCACTTGAACAAGGTTTTTCCATTTGCATGGTTTTATCATCACGCTTTTGGTCATGGTTTTATCATCAAGTTTTTGGTCAATCTGTTACCTTTAAACTTCATCTTTTTCTTTGCTTTTAAGACTTTGGCATTTTTAAAAACCAACTTACATACTTAAAAAATGTTTTTATAATTCTAAATAAAATAAATAAATAAGGAACAGCGCCAAACAATCTATTATTGAATTTGTAGTTAGGTGTCTGCTTCACTTTAAAATTTAAAACTTGCAGTTGTGATTTAATGAAAATAATGTGGTTTAAGCTCATGGATTTAAGTCATTTTATCAAAAAAACTTATTTGTAAGATTCAATGTGACCCCCTTTTTAAAAACATGGATATGTTAATAAATTTTTGGGCAAAACCAAATCTTGCTTGGCGTTGCTAAGGTGTTGCTAAGCGATTAAAATTATACCTGGTTTTTTAAAAACCTTATCTCCTAATACTATTAAAAATACATATTAAAGTTATAATGATGTTTAGAGATATCCAAAGAAAAATATAGTGCTTAGGCCCTTTTCTTTTCAAAAAAATGCCATTTTATTTGTGTACGTTTTGATTGGTTTATTTAAAAAAAAAATCATGAAACTTGTTGTTTTATATTGTTTACAAATATTTGGTGAATTTATTATCTACAAGTTTGAAGTTTTAACTTAATTCTATGGGGTAGAAGTTATATAAAAGCTGAAAAGTTTCTGTTTAGTAATTTATTCAATCGACTATAAAGAGATTATGGAAGTAAATTGCTATGAGTGATAACTAATATGAAAACTTGGATTTTAACGTTTTTACTGTTTTTAGAAAGAGAAAATATGAGGTTTTTAGTCATTTATTGAATATTCTAATGTTGTAAACAAGAAGTCTTTTTAATTTCGGCATTTTTGGAATGTAAATACTTAACACATTTGTTTCAGCTGTTTTTATGACGCTTGTCCTTTGCATTTTATGTATTTTAGTGGTAGTTTTGTTTTACTTGATGCTTTAGTTAAAACAAGATTTATAAAAAAATAATAAATTATATAAGAAAAGCTTAAATTCTACTTTTTAAAAATATATAACAGTAATAATCAAAAGCGAAAAACACAAAAAATTGAGGTTTAAAAATGTAAACTTTTGTTTTTAAGAAATGCAAATCATTTGTATCTTTCCTTAACTAAGTTGAGTATATTTTTAACTTTAGTTTATAATAATTTATATTTCAAGATAATTATAATCTTATAAAAAATAATTTATATTTCAAGAAACTGTTTTTAAAATGATCAATCGTATATTTTTTGTTAACCGCCAAAAGGGAAACCCAAAAATTTAAACTTGATTTAAGTTTTTTGAAAGAAACTTCTTTTATGTCAAACGTCAAAGAACTGGAACTCTCCTTTGTGAAAAAAAAAAATGGCGTTAAAATTTTAACGACATTTTGTTTTTAAAATAAAGTTTTTTTAATATCTCATAATCACGATAATTTGTTTTGGAAAGCTTGATCAACTTTTAACTTATTTTCTAAAGTTTATCTATAATATGAATATAACTTTCTCGGCACTTGGGGATCCCTTTAAATTGTCTCCTTTTTTTAAGTAATTTGTCTTTCAAAAAAAAAAAAAGAAAAAAAAAAGTAAATGAATATGGGCAATTCCACAGTGGAAAATGAAAAAGTAGTCAAATTTTATGCTCTTTTTCATCAATTTTTAGCAAAGGAATAATAATGTAGATACATAAAAGTTTATTTATACCTTTAGTACTAAAATAATTTATTTAAGTCATTTTTATGTTTCTGAATGTTACGGTTTTTCTCATTTTCGCATGATAAAAAAAGTATCATTGTAAAGTATTATTTTAACCATGAATTTATTTGGATAATCGGATTTAACTTTGTGTGAAAATGGAGCTTATATGTTCAAATTGTTGTTAGTCAGATTTTATATTTTATATAATATATATATTTCAAGAAAATAATGAAAGAACTTTTGCAATTTTTATCTAACGTAAGTTAACAAAAACATGATAAAGTTTTGTTTTTTCTAATATTTAGTTAAAAAACCTTAGTTTTTTAATAATATATACGAAAGAATATTAAATGTTCCTTTTTACATATAAAGTTTTGAATAACGATGCTTAGTTAAAGCACATTTTTATTTTAAATTTGTATAAAGTAAGTTAAAACTACATGCATTTACTAAAGTTCAGACACTTTTTAGTTAACAAAATGAGTTACATCATTAAATAATTGTTATTATGTCGCGTTGGTTTGACAAGGTTTTAACTGCACTTTTTATAAATATATATATATATATATATATATATATATATATATATATATATATATATATATTTATAATATATTATATTTTGGTAGAAATATAAATATACATAAATAAATAAAAATAAAAACAATATAAATATTTTTATTTAGACAATGCTGATATAATATAAAATAAGTATAAAAAAAATCAGTTAGAACCTTTTTTATTTTTGTTTTATTAAAATAATAACTTGTAAATGCAATTAAGGGGGGTCATCCATGTCACCCTATATTAGTCAATTCTTAGCCCCTTCTCTCCTGTCACAAACGATCACATATACCTGAACTCCCTAAACCTCCTCTCCCTCCATCAAAAATATTTTTAAAGATTTAAATACTTTGCAGCATTTTAAAAATTCAACCTAATTAATATAAGGCATACGCATTAACGTAAGAAGTTGAAGTAAAAACTTTTTCAAACTGAAGTTTGACTTTAAATGATAAGTATTAAAAAAGTTAAATACTAAAATAATTTTTTAAATTTGCTCTTGGTCTTGCGGAAAAACTGTTTTCGATTAAATAACTTTCATAAATGTTATGAAAAACCACTCAGGAAGAGTGCTGCCAGTTTTTTAAAATTTCCTTTGTTAACTCTTTTTAATGAATGAGTTCAATTCTTTTGCTGCATAACTCTAACTTTTAATAATAGATATAAAAAACCTTTTTTATATATTTTTAAATTGGTATAGAATTCTCAACATCTTGCGAAAGTTTCTAATAAAAACCACTTTACTGATTTGCAGAAATCTGACCTAAAAGTTGAGGCAATTTTTTACCTTGTGTTCCGTGTAATGTAAGTTATGTGGTATTTTCAGTAATAAGTTTGCTCTCTTTTGGCCAGAATCAAAACTTTTAAGCTTATTTTATTCTTTAGACTAACAGCTTTCATACGAAATAGCTAAAACTTTAATTTACAGTTTAAATAAGCAAATATTTGATAAAGATGTAGTGTGTGTAATGTAAATTAAAAATGGAATTGCCCATTGTGTCAAAACATTAGTGTTATGTGAGAAAGATCTTCCATCAAAAGATCTTCCATCAAAAGGTCTTCCATCAAAAAGTCTCCCATCAAACCTTATGTACAAAAAGTTCCCACCAAATCTTTGGTAATGCTACACTCAATTTATATTTGCTGATTGTTTCTTATATTTAACAGTTAAAGAGGTTACTTATTTTAAGCTTATATATATTTAGTATATAAAGCTTATATTTATATACTATTTGTTTTAATTAAAAAAAAAAAAATTATCACTGTAGTTTCTCAATAATTCATCATACTTTATTGAATAATCATACTGAACCAAATTCCCAACTCTTTGGAATTGAAAATTGAATTATTAGCCTAAACATTAAACTTATAAAAATTTTACATAAAATTTCTAAATAAATTTTTTTTTAAAGTTATTAATATGTGTAAACAACATCAATAACAACAAGATATTTTTTTTTTTTCATTTTCATTCATTTCCAACAAGGCTGCAAGCAACCACTATTAAGTTGGGAGTTACTAGGAAAAAAAAGAACAGAGTTATAGAGCAAGAAAACGGTTGACAGAAGACTTGAAAAGTTGAAGGTTGTATGAGTCAGGAAAATATGAAGATGGGAGAGAGTTCCAAAGGATTGAAGTGCGGGGAAAAAAACTAGATGAATAAAAGTTTTTAGAGCATGCAGGGACAGATACAGTAAACGAATGAGACTTAGCTGAATGACAAGTAAAACGAGAATGAATTTTAGTTGATGGAACTAGAGATGATAACTCCTTTGAGCAGTGACCATGATAGTATTTGTAGAAAAGAGAAAGAGATGCAACTTTACAACGAGGGGAAAGAGGCTCAACCTTAGCAGATAGTCCAGGTCCAACAACATTTACAATGCGTTTTTGGGCCTTGTCAAGAAGAGAAAGTGAATCTTTAGAAGAACCAGCCCAAATATGACAACAGTATTCCATACAGGGATGAATAAGAGATTTGTAGAGGTAGAGAATGGAATCAGAAGTAAGGAAATGGCGAGTACGATAAAGAGAAGCAACCTTAGCAGAAGCTAATTTAGCAATCGATTGTATATATGGTTTCCATGAAAGGTCAGTAGTAAGCGATAATCCAAGAAGAAGTAAAGCGGAGGACTCAGTAAGAAGATTACCATTCATTAATATAGGAATGTTGACCATATTATGGTAGTTGTTTGCAGTAAACAACTGGGTTTTGTTAGAGTTGAAATTCACAAGCCACTGTGAACCCGAATCTATTACTGAAGTGAGATTGGATTCAAGATCAGCTGCTTGTTCTAGGCAATCGAAAAGAGAAGACTTTTTGTCAAGACAGGAGTATAAAGTTGAGTCATCAGCAAAAAGAGCTACTTTAGATGAAAGGTTGTCAGGAAGATCGTTTATGTAGATAAGAAACAAAACAGGGCCCAGGATGGAACCTTGGGGAACCCCAGAAGTTACTGGAAATAAAGAAGAGTGTTGGCCTTCAAGGATGACTTTAATACACCGGTTAGAAAGAAATGATTTGATAATCTCAACTTTTCCAGAAACACCATATGAAGTAAGCTTATGGAGAAGACCAGCATGCCAAACTTTGTTGAAAGCTTTAATTTCGTTAGCTTTAGTTTTAGTATTTACTTTCCACTATTCATTTTTAAAATAGAAATAAAATTGTAATAATAATAATAATAATAATAATAATAATAATAATAATAATAATAATAATAATAATAATAACAATAATAATAATTTTAACAAAAGTAAAATACTTTAATCATAAAAAATATAAAAATAGATAACAAAATGGAGTGACACCAAAAGTGAATACTACTAATTTAAATTTATTAAATCGTCACTAAAAGTAAACACCACTAATATAATTGAAACTAATGATTATGATGAAAAATGATAAGGCATTTATTTAGATTTTTTTTACACAATTTTAAGTATTTTAAAATGTTTTTTTTAAATAAGTGAATATGGATTATTAGTAATTTTTTAATTGTTAATGACTGATAACTAAAATCTTTTGACAAAAAAAAAAAAAAAATTAAAATACTTAACTACTATGTTCTTCTTTTAAAAGTAAAAAAAATTTACTTGTATATAATTGACAGGATGAACCAAACCAATCATCAACACACAAACATTTAGCTGTTTTGTTAAGTACATTACAGCTACCTCCATTATTACATAAAATTCCCTGACACAGTTCTAAAAAACAAAATTTTATTTTTTTATTAACTATATAAAATAAACTTAATTCTATCATTTTTATAACCCACAGTATAATATAGTTATTGAAATGCCATTAAAATTTCTATTTTTACTTTATGTCTTTTATTTTTATTTACTGTCTATGAGTTTAAAAACAGAATTTAACTTTTAACTTATTATTATTAAAAAAAACTTTTATATATATATATATATATATATATATATATATATATATATATATATATATATATATATATATATATATATATATATATATATATATATATATATATATATATATATATATATATATATATATATATATATATATATATATATATATATATATATATATATATATATATATATATATATATATATATATATATATATATATATATATATATATATATATATATATATATATATATATATATATATATATATATATATATATATATATATATATATATATATATATATATTAGACTGCTTCATTTTGAGGTCATGAAAAAATTTTAAGTACCATGGAGTGTTATCTGCTGTGTTGACCTTTATTTTATTAGCAGAATTTTTTTTTTAATTTTGACCACTTTTAGGGGTTGTTCAAGTGCCTCAAAAGTCATATTTTAGGCTTTTTTACCCTTTTTTAAGCCCATTTTTTGCACGTTTGAGCAAGTACTAACACTCAAAAAAATTGAATTTTTTTTTTCTAGAGTTTTTTCTAAGTTAGAATAAAAAAATTAAAATGCATGGTAATTTTATTTTATTGAAATAATTTGTGTAAATTTATCTACAAAAACGCAAAGTTATGCAATTGTTGCGCTTCGCGTTAATTTAAAAATGTTGCGTATTTGCTTAAACATGTTATGCAAATTACTTTTTAACAAAAACAATATTTAATTTTGATTTAAAAACGCGGGAAATATATATATACATTACTCTTATGATATACTTACTCCATATACTAATTAAAGCTATTTACTACTGATTTATTCATGCCAGGGAAAAGTAAGAAAAAAGTTGACACACATTTTTTGGTAAGGGAATCCAGGTCATCCTTACCAAAAGACAAGTTTGCTACAAAGCAAGAGGTTTTGCAATACTTCTTGCATTTGAAGGAGAAGTACCCAAAACAAAAAGAAAATAGAATTATCCACTGTCTATTGACAAAAAACTTTGAAATCAGCTGCCATAATGAAAAACATATTTGTTGCACTCTTTCAAAGTTAATTACACCTTGGTTGAAGGGTGGATTTCAGATTTTACAATTACAAACAATTAGGTAGGTACCAGACTGTAAATTTTTTATTTATTTATATATTATTACTTATTAGCGGAAAATATTAATATAACTAATGTCTGCTGTTAAATAAGTTAATAAACAGAAATAGGTGTGTTGTAAAATATACCGAACCTATAAATCACATTTTTTAGTATAAAGATAGAGAAGCTGATCCGAACCTGGAAACTGTTAAAAAAAAAAAAACCAAGACAAACTTTATCAGAGATTAAAAAAAGGAGGAGGTTTTTAACTCAGATGAAAAGTATCTTTTGGATTGCACCTGAGCTCGATACTCTGGTTGCAATCATTAAAGCTGATAGGAAACGAAAGGATCAAGACAAGACTGAAGATATTGCATTTTTATTAGACCAATTAGGAGATAGAAAAACTAGAATAGGTGGAATCGATACAAGGTACCTTTACTCTGTAAACAGGAGTTTATCCAAAATTAAAAGGAAATCAAATTTGCATGAAACCATGTCAGAGAGTGAATTCATCTCAAAAGGATCAGAGAAAGATGAAGGTAATGATGATTTTTCATACCCAGATCCAGAGTTAAAGAAAAAAGTCAAAAAAACTAATACTGTTATGCTTCCAAAAGATATTCTCAAGAGAACTGCTGATACTGCTGTTGGGGAAGGAATAAGTCATAGGCAGCATGCTTCCATGATTAATAGTATAATCGCTAAATCGGGTGGAAATGTAGCTGAATTTAAATCTTCAACCTCTACAGCATTACGCGCTGCAGATAAGGTCATTCATGATGAATCAAAGAGGATCAAGGATGATTTAAGAAGTTTAAGAAAAATCAATAAGAACATTTTAGTTCAACTCCATTTTGATGGAAAAGTATGTCATGAATATACTGATGGGAAAAAATTGGAACAAGATCGATTAGCAATATTAATAAACGCTAACAAGGAAACGCACCTGTTGGGAATTCCACCCATTTCTTCTGGAACTGGTGAAAATCAAAAAAATGCAATCAGAGATATCTTAAATAGCTTTAACCTTACAGACAATATACAAGCTGTAACATTTGATACTAGCAGAATCAACGCTGGAAAAAAAAAAATGGAGCTGTATCTTTACTGGTAAATGAAGTCTTTCAACGACCAGTTCTATCTATTGCATGCCGACATTATGTCAATGAGCTACACATAACACATTTCTGGAAAAATTATCAAAGTAGCATTACTTCTGGACCAGATAATCTGCTGTTTAAAAGTTTAAAATCAGCATGGAATGATCTTGACGCAGACAACCAGGTAGGTTTTTACAAAATTAGCTACCATTTTGTGAAATTTTTTCCAAATAATTTTCTTTTTCCAATTTTGAGTTCTTTGAATTTTTTTTTACGTTTTGAATAAATAAGGTTTTGAAAAGATTGACTATTCCAGAGGAAACATGGCTTGGTCATCAAAAGCATGAAAGCATAACGTTCTGCGGAAATATTATCACCAGTGGGTCTCTAAAAAAGGTAGCCAATAACTAGATATCTGAATTTGTAGGTATCTATGTAGTATGTACTTTTATGTTGAAATTTTTTTATAAATTTTTCTTTTTTAATTCTATTATCCTTTATTATACTAAAATATAAATAGGTTTATTTTATTATACCTAAATACTTATTATTTTATTTCATTTTTAGGATGGGGCTACAAGGAAGGACTACATTGAGCTGGCAGAGCTTACACTTATGGTGCTTTCTGAGGACAGGTACAAATTTCGTACTCCCGGAGCAGTCCACCATGCCCGCTTTATGGCAAAAGGTAAGGAATTGTAGGTTCATGATAAAAAAAGGTTCAAGTTGCAAAAAAAAAGGAATTTGTTTTACATTATCAAATATTTGTCTTTTTAAAAAATTAAAAAAAAGACTTTTTTTTATAGGTATCTACTACCTAAAACTCCAACTTATGATGGATGCTATACCTAGTGCTGACATAGAGTTCCTCAATTCTTTAGACTTCAGTGGACTGAAGCCTCCCAGCTTAGTTCATTTGGTCACAGAAAATTCGTGGCTATTGTTCCTTATGATAGACCAAAGTAAAAGTGACTGTCAATGGATGAAAACCCCTCCAGAATATTGGACTTGCAATGATTTCTACTTAAAATTTCAGGAGGCAGTTTTTAATCTTTCAGTTGTTAATGATTGGTCGGAAAGAATCGTTAAACTCATAAAAGACAAAATTGATATTGCCCGAAAAGAAGAGAAAAGACAGGATTCACTTTAATTTTTGCATAATTACAAAAGGAAGTATGGAGGAAAAACTAAGAAATCCAAGAAAAACAAAAAAAAAAACAATATAAAAATATAACATAACATTTTTAAAAAATAATTATAAATTTTATAGAAATTTAATTATAAAGAAATTTGTTACACAAAATTGCTAGACGTTTTATTCAATATAATTAGATTTTTTTTCGTTTCATGTAATTTAATGAAGTTTCATGCAATATGATAAAGTTTTTATAGACCTTGTTTATTGCAATAAACAAGGTCTATAAAAACATTTTATGCAACATAGTTAGGTTTTTTTCCAAATGGCTTAACATATCCATAAAGATATTGCAATGCGTAATATTCTGTAAAAATCTGCATAACTTTGCGTTTTTGTAGATAAATTTACACAAATTATTTCAATAAAATAAAATTACCATGCATTTTAATTTTTTTATTCTAACTTAGAAAAAACTCTAGAAAAAAAAAAATTCAATTTTTTTGAGTTTTAGTACTTGCTCAAACATGCGAAAAATGGGCTTAAAGAAGGGTAAAAAAGCCTAAAATATGACTTTTGAGGCACTTGAGCAACCCCTAAAAGTGGTCAAAATTAAAAAAAAAATTCTACTAATAAAATAAGGGTCAACGCAGCAGATAACACTCCATGATACTTAAAATTATTTCATGACCTCAAAATGAAGCAGTCTAATATATATATATATATATATATATATATATATATATATATATATATATATATATATATATATATATATATATATATATATATATATATATATATATATATATATATATATATATATATATATATATATAAACATTTAAACTTTTAATTTCTATTTGTTAAATAAATTTTTAAAAATTAAGTTAAAAATTTTATTTTAAAATTAATTTCTGTAAAATTAGTACCATTTTCGGTACAACAATCTGTAGTTGCTACGGAAACAATCATAGAACAACAATCAGCTTTCATTGCTAAGCAGCACCCAATACTTGATGAAACTGTAGATACAACAATTGAAGTAGTTATTGAGTCTAAATTTATTGTAGACTCAAAAGGAATCAAATCAATTGAGGAGCATTTTGCATCAAGTGAAGAAGTTTTCAAAGAACCCATAAGTGAAGGTTTCAAAGAACCCTTTGTATTGTTTAACATTGCACTTGAGTAATGCTGTGGAACACTGTTTACAATTTGCTTTGAAAACATAAATGTACTGATTATAGTAAAATCAGATTTAAATGATCGATTGGAAAAATCTGAGAAACCTGATAAATATTAGAAATAAAAAATACATTTTCAGTTATGTTTACTTTATATAAAAATAGGAAAAAAATTAAAACATTTTGTGTGCACGAAAATTTTATATACAAAAAATTAAATATTAAAAAAACAACAACTGATAAGATCATTTTTTTATGACATTTTATGGCAATACTTTTCTTCAAAAAGTTTGTAATAAAAAAGTTTCAAAATGTCAATAAAACTCTAGTTTTTTGATATAGGCCACTGAAGTCAAGGAGGCTACTTTAGTTGTGGTTAAAACCCTCTCTCAACTCTATAACTCGAAGCACAAACCTTGACAAACAAGGCCACTGCGCAGAGAAACAAGTTGAGCCTGGTATTACCAGGGACATGGTGGGGATCGAACTTTTATCCTAAATTATTAAATACCTTTTATTACTATCTGTCTAACAATTTATTTCTTGGCAAAACAGGCAATCTGTCTAATAACTTATTTCTTGTTAGTTTGAATGAAAATAAATTATTAGTCTCCATAATTAAAGTTTATGAAATGAATTTTAAAAACTCATTATTTTAAAGTAATAAGAAAATTAGTTTTATTATTGTTAACTTTTGCAATTTTAAAATTAAATATAATTATATTTCAATTTCAAACTTGAAGTAATGAGAAAACTAGCTTTAATATTGTTAACTTTTATAATTTTAAAATTCAATATTTTTTTTTTAAACTAGTTTAATTTTTTATGAAAATTAATTTTAGCTTATTAGTTATATAAAAAAATAAATATCTAAAATATATCTAGAATTTTAAACAAAATCGTAAATTAAAATTAAAAAAATTGATATCAAAATTTCAACCTGTGCTAGGTGTTGACAATGCAATGGTAGTGACAAACATACTTGATGTAGCAACCAAATTTGTAAAAGATGGCTTCACAGTTATTTTTGGCAAAAATGATATAACATCAACAGATTGAATCAGCATAATACTTTGTATACTTGAGGTAACTAGTTTAAAAATTACATAAATGAATAAAAATTATCTTATTTAATATAACTGTTTATGTTAATTATAATTAACATAAACAGTTATTATTATTAAATGTAATCAACTAATATATTTATATTTATATTAATTATAATATAACTATAATGTTAACCCAATACAACTTAAACTACTTTAGACATAAGTCATCAGGAAAACACATTACTTCATTATTTTTATCACTGGTTGTTCAACCTAGGGATAAATGCGGGATTATCTTGACTTTATTCATGGGTTTCTGCTTGTGCCTCTTATCACTAAAGTGGTAAGAGTTAAAAAAATGGCAACTGCACTGTTATCTCCTAATGTAGTGTACAGCTCTACAATTCAATTTAAAGATTCTGAAGCAGACTGGTAGTAAAATTTCCTAAACTTTGAGGTATATTCCATCAAAAGCTGTAAAATCTCAGAGTATTAATAGTGCTATGTTGCACATATATAGCTATGTATTAAAGTAAATAGGCTACTGTTTTTGAGTTACCAAAATTTATAAATAAAGTCTAGCTGAGTTACCAAAATTTATAGATAAAGTCTAGCACGCTGACCCTCTGCTTAAGCTCACTTTATACAATATCAAAAAGTTTTAAAATTTCTTTTTTTTAATCACAGTATTAAATGTGTTCTTGACAAATAACACTCTCCTTTCATTTTTAGTAACTTCTGAGGCACACAAAGTTCCAGCCTTGGTCTTGGACCGTATTTCATTTATATTAATGACTTTTCAGACAATCCTACCACTAATTATGCAACTAATTATACTATAGTCTTGATAAAAAGTCATAACTTTTTGATTGCATGCAAAACCAATCTTGAATATGATTTCTCTTCTTTGACAACATGGGGCTAGCTGTGGCTTGTAAATTTTCACAAATAAAATAATCAGTTATTCAAACATACTTGCAATATCGTTGATATTCCTATTTAGATGAATTACAATACTCTTACCTGGCCCTCCACTTAAATACTCTTACAGTGTCTTTTACTTATACAATCTTACAGGGTCTTCCACTTAATATCTTTTTATTGTTTTGCCTTATCATGATTCTATTCACTACTTCTAAAAACCACTTATTCATTCCTGTATACAATACTATTGTCATAGCTAGGCTGGTTCTTCTTATGATGCCCTTTTTCTTATACACAAGGTTTAAAATCTAATTGTATATTTAGTTGGACTACCTAGCTTAGACATATTTATCCCTTTTCCCATTCTTGGGAAAGTTGTATCTTTTATTTTTTTCCACAAACACTATTATGGTTGCTGCTCAAACTAGAGCTATCATCTCTTGTTCCATCAACCAAAATTTTGACATTCAACAAAGCTGTATCAATGCTTATATCATATGCTTGAAAAAATATAATTTTTCTAAACTTTTTTTTGACAAAAATTGATGTATCGGGAACACGGGAAGGAATTCATCAATGAATTTGACTTTTTGTTAATAATTTTTTCAAATTTCACTTGTAAAGAATTAGGGGATAGCTGAGACAAAAGCAATAATTGACAACAAACATTATCAAAACAGTTTTTTAACAATACTGTTAAATATATTTGATTATTCCACTGATAAAGAAATTTTTTTAATCTATTCATGGATGAAATTAAAAGTTAGAATGTTGTAAGAATTTCCGGAAGCAAGGAGTAATCCTTATGTTGAAAATCCTTAAAAAAAAATTGTTAACAAACATTTATTATGCCAATAAACATAAATTAACATAAAAAAAAACAACAATAAAATAAAGAAATCTTTTCATCTTAAAAGAACCTTTTCAAAAACTAAAATTAAAATCAGGTGTCGTCCAGCTTAACTAAGTAAGTAATCAAAAATAAGTGATCCAGTTAGGTAATATAGTTAAGCATTGAGAATTAGAAATTGTAAACTAAAATGCTAGATCTTGAATAGCCAAGTCTAATTGCAACTTTATACACATTAGCAGAATTTCGTCCTCAATTGTGAGGATAAAACTTTGCTAATATAGTGCGTTTTTTCCCTGGCATTTTTCTTCTTTCCTTTACTAAATACATAAATACTTTTTTTGTACACCCAGTATAGAACTTTATCAATATATCCAAATGACATAACCTAACTAACTCTGCCTATGGTATTGAAGAAAACTTACTCAGTAATTATTCATGATGTTTTAATAACAAAGATTTTTTGTGTATTCTTTTGGGAGTGTTTTGAAGTATTTTCAAGTTTCTAACAAAACAGAAATAGGAACAACAGATAAAACATAATTGTGATCATAATGAATCCATAGGCTGAGGCTTGAGCTGTGAGGTTCTTTTTAATGGAGATTTTTGGTTTTTTAACTCATTATCATAACCATTTAAATATTATATAAAAATCAAGTAGGTAAATATCAAGTATTAAAGTGATAAATATCAGTAGGTTTAAAAAAGCAATTTGAACAAACGGGTGACTGAACAGAAAATCTAAAATGCATTCTAAACAGTCTCCTAAACAGTCTTCTAAACAGTCTTCTAAACAGTCTTCTAAACAGTCTTCTAAACAGTTTTCTAAACAGTCTAATTTTTGAGTTCTATTTAGGCAACATCTTAGTGTCTCCAAAAATTTTGATAATGTCTTTTTTGAATATCTTCTATCATTGTTGCAGTTTTGAACAACGCAATGATCACCGCCACCCATGTCTAATTTATGTTTTATTTACTTTGTTTTTCTTTATTTATTTCCTTTTATTTCCTTATTTGAAAATTCTGTTTTGGTTTGTTTGCACCTCATTTACCCCATAATGCTTTATATTTACTTTGTTTTTCTTTATTTATTTCCTTTTATTTATTTATACTAAAATCATATTTTGGCTTGTTTGCGCCTCATTTATCCCATAGTGCTTCCCATAGAAAAACAATAGATATTGATGTCACTGTGTAAATTTGTAAACAAATGGTGTTGCTAAGCCTTTTCTTTTAGTCCTTGTTGTAACTAATTTTTTTTTATAGGTAATTTGGTAGAAAAATAAAAGTTTTGTAATGTAAAAAAATAGTTTTAAATTTTTTTTTTATAAATAATACATAAAAGACAAAAAAGCAACAAAAAAGCAACTTTTATGTAACTCAATTAAACTGACAAAGTTGAGTTTCCGTCAAAATGTGTCAAGGTTGCATTTTAATATCTACATTTATTATTTAGCAAAGTGCTAACTTTTCTAACTGTTAACCAAGTGCTAACTGTTCTTCCATGTTAAAAAAACTCAACAAGTTATTTCCCAATACATCAGAACATCAAAATTCTCTCATTTCTTTATATTTGCCTGAGGGGTCGTCCATAAAATATGTAAGCTTTTATTTTGACCCATCCCTCCAATTTTGTTATACATTTTTTTAAGTACCCTCCACCTTCCATAAAATACCTACACTTTCAACCCACCCAATTTTTTATGGTATTTTTTTAAATTTAGTGTCTCCTAACTTTTATAATTAACCCCTTGCACCATATCTCATAAATGCTGTTTGCAGGCCCCCTCTCCCCAATGCAAGCAAACATACTTTATAACTCCTAACAAGTTACAGTTTTTTGCCTTATGCCAACTGTTTTCTTGTTTTTTAAATCTCTTCTCCAGATCATGGTCTAACTTCATACAATGTGAATAAAATATGACCAAAAAAAAAAAATTATTTAAACATAATTTAAATTAATTTATTAATTCAAAACATAAAGGTGATAATATAACAATTTAAAAAGTTACGTGTATAAGAAATGTTTTGACATTCCTTGCCATTCTCCATAAGTTTCATTCCATCAGGACATCCACACTTTAACCATCTAGTAGAAGAGAAGCAAATATGTGAGCATCCACCATTGTTAACTGTACAAGGATGATCTAAAATTTTTATTAAATGTTGAAAAAATATAAATGTTGAAAAAAAGAATTAAAAAAAAATTAAAGTTAAAAAAATGAATATAATAAATAAAAAAAGGAATAAATAAATATTTTACAGTAAACTTGAACATGAAAGTTATAATATGCATATGTACATACATACATGGGGCTATTCCGAACCCTTTTAAACAGCATTGAATGAATTTGGGGGACATTTGGGCACCACCCAAATTCCAATATAAACTTCTTGATTGTGTGTATATATGTATATATATATATATATATATATATATATATATATATATATATATATATATATATATGATATGTATATATATATATATATATATATATATATATATATATATATATATATATATATATATATATATATATATATATATATATATATGTATATATATATATGATATGTATATATATATATATATATATATATATATATATATATATATATATATATATATATATATATATATATATATATATATATATATATATATATATTTAAACAATTTAAAATCTTTTCTACAAAAAGAGTGCTCAATTTTCTTAAAAGAACAGAGCAATTACAAATTAGTAGAAAATCACTTACAAAATTTTTTTCTCATTTAACACTGTGTTTCATCAATAAAGACTCATCAGATTTCTGATGAGCCTTTATTGATGAAACACAGTGTTAAATGTATATATATATATATATATATATATATATATATATATATATATATATCTTATACTGCTGAGTTTGGTGAGCATGATGACGTATGACATCATACTGAAATAGCCTGCTGCCGGGGGCTTCAGTACATACATCGACTGACAAATAGCTTGACTCGCAGTGGAGTGCTGCTACATTGACAGAGGGTTTGGTATGGTCAGCAACCTTTTCATTCATTATTCTTCGTTTTATATATATATATAAATATATATATATATATATATATATATATATATATATATATATATATATATATATATATATATATATATATATATATATATATATATATATATGTATATATATATATATATATATACATATATATATATATATATATATATGTATATATATATATGTATATGTATATATACGTATATATATATATATATATATATATATATATATATATATATATATATATATATATACATATATATCACCCACACTTCCCCTGAAACTGTTTATGAGAGCCATTTATGGCTATTGCAAAAGTATAATTTATTACATATATATATATATATATATATATATATATATATATATATATATATATATATATATATATATATATATATATATATATATGTATATATATATATATATCTTATACTGCTGAGTTTGGTGAGCATGATGACGTATGACATCATACTGACATCAAAAGCGCCTCCTACATAACCTCCTGGATTCAGGCTAGAATGGAAGCTTTTATTCCTTCGCGTCGGTTTCAAGTCAAGCCTCATTCTACTCCATGGTTTTCTCCTTCTTGTGCGGCTGCTATATCCAATCGTAATCATTTTTTTCATCTTTTTCAAAAAAACAACTCTCTTGAGAACAAACGGCTAATTATTATTGCAAGAAATCGATGTAAAAAGGTGCTTTCTGATGCTAAACTCCATTATTCTCAGTTCACTAAATCTCGCATCTTATCGCAGAAGTTAGGCTCTAAAGACTTTTGGAAAATCTTCAACAGCAAATTCCTCACATCTCATCTTGATTCAAATAAACTACTGCCAGACAATCAATACAGTTTTCGATCCTCTCGCTCTACGGCCGACTTGCTAACTGCTGTAACTGAAAGATTTTATCGTGCATTAGATGGAGGCGGTGAGGCTAGGGCTATTGCTCTCAACATATCTAAAGCTTTCGACAAAGTTTGGCATGCTGGTCTTCTCCATAAGCTTGCTTCATATGGTGTTTCTGGGAAAGTTTTTGAGATTATCAAATCATTTCTTTCTAACCGGTGTATTAAAGTCATCCTTGAAGGCCAACACTCTTCTTTATTTCCAGTAACTTCTGGGGTTCCCCAAGGTTCCATCCTGGGCCCTGTTTTGTTTCTTATCTACATAAACGACCTTCCTGACAACCTTTCATCTAAAGTAGCTCTTTTTGCTGATGACACAACTTTATACTCCTGTCTTGACAAAAAGTCTTCTCTTTTCGATCGCCTAGAACAGGCAGCTGATCTTGAATCCGATCTCACTTCAGTAATAGATTGGGGTTCACAGTGGCTTGTGAATTTCAACTCTAAGAAAACCCAGGTGCTTACTGCAAACAACTACCGTAATATGGTCAACATTCCTATATTAATGAATGGCAATCCTTTTACTGAGTCCTCCTCTTTACGTCTTCTTGGATTATCGCTTACTACTGACCTTTCATGGAAACCATATATACAATCCATTGCTAAATTAGCTTCTGCTAAGGTTGCTTCTCTTTATCGTACTTGCCATTTCCTTACTTCTGATTCCATTCTCTACCTCTACAAATCTCTTATTCGTCCCTGTATGGAATACTGTTGTCATATTTGGGCTGGTTCTTCTAACCATTCACTTTCTCTTCTTGACAAGGTCCAAAAACGCATTGTAAATGTTGTTGGACCTGGACTATCTGCTAAATTGAACCTCTTTCCCATCGTCGTAAAGTTGCATCTCTTTCTCTTTTCTACAAATACTATCATGGTCACTGCTCAATGGAGCTATCATCTCTAGTTCCATCAACTAAAATTCATTCTCGTTTTACTTGTCATACAGCTAAGTCTCATTCGTTTACTGTATCTGTCCCTGCATGCTCTAAAAACTTTTATTCATCTAGTTTTTTTCCCCACACTTCAATCCTTTAGAACTCTCTCCCATCTTCATGTTTTCCTGACTCATATAACCTTCAACTTTTTAAGTCGTCTCTCAATCGTTTCCTTGCTCTATAACTCTTTTCTTTTTTTTCCTAGTAACTCCCAACTTAATAGTGGTTGCTTGCAGCCTTGTTGGGAGTGAATGCAAATAAAAAAAAAAAAAATATATATATATACAGGCTTCGGCAGGAATAAAAACTGTACGGGCTATGAAAAGCCCGTCTTAAATAGACTTGACGGGCTATGAGGGCCGCCCGTCTAGATGGTCTTGCACGGGCTTTTTTAAACTTTAAAAAAAATTCTAAAGTTTGAACTTTTTTTTTTTTAAATTTGTTAATTTCTCTTTTTGAATGAAAATGTCATTGAATATTAAACATTTTGTGAATTGCACTAAAATAATATGTTAACTGTTTAAAATGCTTAATTACTTAAGTAATTAAAACACTGCCGTAAATGAGTTGGATAATACTTAAAACTAAGATTTCAATAATTGTTTTTCAAAGTTTTCACTTGCACAGATATAATTTCGTTTCACGTGGGTTAGTTGTTTTATGGTTGCTTTTGTTTAAATTTCTTTATTCTTTTTTTATGTTTTTTTTTTTTTAATCTTTATTCCAGATAATATCTGGCAGATATAGTCAAACGAACGAACGTGAAAACGACGGGAAAAATCCTGGAAACAACCATGGCGTTTCATCACGTTTCCTTATTCAAGCATCCTAACGTGTTTTTTTACCGAAGTCTTTTTGAGTATATTTATATATTATTGTTTTATTTAAGTATTCGATTAAATTATACAGGTTTTTATCGTGCTTTTTTAGTTCATTCGTTTCTCTTATTCTTTGTGAATAAAAATATTACATAATATTTTCAAAATCTAATTTTTTTAATTATTCAGCAAATAGTTTGAAATCTTTTTTTTTTTTAACCTTGAATCAATGAGCTCGATAGTTTTAGAATTGTTTGATGTTAGCTTGGTAATATGATACGTAACTATGTTATTTTTCAAATTCAATTATTTATATACTCTTGAATTCTATTGGGCGTGCAAATTAAAAACTTAAACTGTTATTTATATTTTTATAACTTTGCTTTACCTATGCCTATCCTGATCGGAAATAGTTATTCTGATACGTGAATAAAAAATTTGAAATCTAATTTCTTTTATTAAAATAAGTTTTTATTTAGAAGTACTAATAATTTCTTAAGATACCGGGGCTTCCGTTACTTTATATACAATATAAGCATGTATATAAGCGTATGTATGTTGCTAGCTTTAACGTTCGTAGTGCCCTCTATAAATGCTAATGCTTTTGATTTTGCCAGACCTTTTAACTCGCGAAGCAATTCTTTTTTATATTTTATACAAACCATACACCATATCTTCACAACAAAAATTGTTCCATTCTCCACCTCAGTTTCTTTTCCACAGACTCCATCTTTACCCCAACTCAAAAATGTTGCTAATGTAACTCTTCTACCAGATGATGCCATTACTATCTTTACTGAAAAACTTGAATAACTTGAAAAACTTGAATGACTGGATAACTTGAATAACTTCATAACTATAAAGCAACACTATTTATATTATCTACAAAAATTGATTAGACGTTTGTTGATTTTTAATGAGATATTTCATTTTCAATAACGAGTTATATAATTGCATATTAAATAAACTGCCATCTCTTTAAGAAAAAACGTGAAGTTAACGCGGAAGTTAACGCGGAAATATCACTTTAAATGTCTTTAAAGTAAGACAAACTAGTTTATCGGAAAAAAGCGAAATACATGGATAATTAGTTTATTATCGTTATTATTATAAACATTGAAAAACCAAAAAAACAACATGATACTTCTTGTGCATCACATGTGTATATTTCCCTATTTAATATAATAGTTATTAAATTTTGAACATAATTTGGTAACTGTTTGGTATTATATCAAACAGTTATCGTCGTTTAAAAAACTGTAAGATTTAGTTATATTATTTTCTACATCATGTTATACAATAATGATTAAATTGTTTAATTTTTATATTTAAATATAAACAATTATAAGTTGGAGTTTGCTATCCATATTAAAATTATGTCATGAGAGAAGTTTTAAAAGAGTATCTTAATAAAAAAACAT